TTATTAGATTCCGCTGCTTTTAATCATATGCGTCCTCTCGTGCGAATTTCACTACCTTGCAATCAACTTCGGATATGTATCTCCAAATGGCCAACGTGGCTAAAGTTACTATTCAGGGGACTGGTACTAATTCTATGGGGGTTGTTAGTCTCTCAGACACTTATTATGTGCCTAATCTTGTCCCAAATCTGGTATCGGCTGGTCAACTAGCAGAAGACGGGTGTGAGGTGTGTTTTAATACAGATGGTTGTGTTGTAAAGTACCGGAACACAAGGAGAGTGATCGGGAAAGGACATAAGCTTGGGCGGGTGTTTGTCTTGGACGAGTATGCGTCGTGTGTGAAAGGTGGCGTAACTTACCTAGTGATGGACGGGGATGGAAGTAGTGATAGTTTTTCTGATTCTAGTCTTGTTGTTTTTTGAGACTGGAACTTTTGGACTTTTCTAGTAAGACATATGTTTGAGATTTGTGGCATTGTCCATTAGGCCACCCTCATTCGGCTCGATTATTATATATGTTTCTAAATAATTTATTATCTGCCAAGCTTGGTTCGATTCTCGATCCTTTCCCACCATGCGTGAGCTACATAGAAGCCAATGCCACTCAGTCATCTTTTTTAGTCTAGTGACACAGTTTATACTGATCCTTTTTTGCTAGTGCACACTGATCTCTGGGGACCTTCTCCAGTAAATTCACGGTTGGGTTATCGATACTTTGCTCTCTTCATCAACCATGCAACTCGTTTTACTTGGGTGTTCTTCTTGCGTCAAAAATCAGAATTGATCACATTTGCTACTGATTTTGTGCGTATGGTTCAAACCCAGTTTATTCGACATTTATTCGGTTTGATCCGAATGGAGAGTTTAGTTCGAATCCATTGTTGGATTTCTATAGATCACAGGGCATGTTATCTCAATAGTCTTGTCTTGGTGTTTTCCAACATAATGGAGTGGTGGAAAGGAAAAATCGATATGTACTAGAAATTACTCGCTCCCTATTATTCCATTCTTGAGTGTCGAGTTCTTTTTGGGCCGAAGCAGTGCATACTGTCATCCATTTAATTAATCGCCATACCACATCAATTTTGGAGCACTTGTCAACTTATGAGGCTCTCTATATGAGAAGCCACCCGATTACACGAGCATACGCTTTTTTGGGTGTGTGTATTTCGTACTTCATAAAAAGGAGCGAACAAAATTGCAGCCTAAAACAGCCAGGTGTGTATTTTTTGGCTATAATGATCGGCACAAAGGTTAATTATGCTATGATCCGCCTACACGTCGTATGCGTATATCTTGCTATGTGATGTTTCTTCAACAAGTGAAATATTATGCAACCACTTCAGATGAATCATCTCAGTCATTGGATTTTTTTTTACTCTCTCTTTCGCTCGATTTGATGCACCTGTCCCTCAAGCTCCTCATGATAATCAGGGAGGGCACCCTTATCAAGATCTCCTAGGCTCTTCACCGGATACACCATCTTTTTAGTACTCCTCGGCGGGAACGTCCCATTCCTCGTCTCCTGTTAATTCTTCTTCCCATGGCGAAAATTCTTCTTCGAGCGGGTCTTCAGGTACATCCGTCCCTGCCATTTGAGGATGCTGCCTCCCCTCCATGTCCACCTCCCGTCCTTTGTCGCTCTACTCGCACTACACTTGGACAAGCCCCAATTCGCTTTGAGGATTATGATGTGGGGTTTGTATCTGAGCCTATTCGCATACCTAGTAATTATCAGGAAGCGAAAGATGACCCATACTGGTCCGCTTCTATGGGAGTGAAAATGCATGATCTTGAGGCAAATGAGAGCTTACTACAAAAAAGGGGTCTATGGCAAGGGTTTTCTCTACCTATAGCAAGGGTTATAACCGCTGCTACCAGTTGTAGCAAGGGTTTTGCCAACCCCAACATGAATCCTCGTCAATGCATCACGATGTGTCTGTCATTGGTTTCCGGTGGGTATATACTATTAAGCTACATCCAGACGATTCTTTGGAGCGTCATAAGTCTCGACTGGTTGCACAAGGTTTTCTACATGAGTATGGCAGTGCTTATGAGTTATGAAGAGACATATGCACCTGTTGTTAATCTGCAAACAGTACGAGTCGTCTTTGTCGAGGTAACTATGTATGATTGGCCCTCCAGTTTGATGTGAAAAATTTATTTCTTCATGGGGACTTGAAGGAGGAAATTTATATGGACTGCCCTCCAGGTAATGATAAAGGGGGAAGGATGTAGTGTGTAAGTTTCGTCGGTCTTTTTATGGTCTCAAACAAGTACCGCGTGCTTGGTTTGAGAAGTTTCATGGCACCATCATACAAGCTAGTTTTCAGCAAATTGATAATGACTCGCCAACTTTTATTCGTCCCACGATTAATGGCAACATCGTTCTACTACTCTATATTGATGATATGGTGATAAGTAGAAGTGATTGCGAGGGCATTCAGGAGCTTACTTGTTCATTGCAGGAGACTTTTAATTTAAAGGAACTCGGCGATGCAGCTTATTTCTTGGGACATGAGACTAAGTGCCTCTGATCAAGGATTGTTTGTTTGCTAAAAGAAATATATTTCGGATCTATTGAAGGAAAATAAGTCTGACAATTCTAAATCGTGCGACACCGATGGAACAGAACTTGATAGGCTCTCTGATTTATCTTACATTCTTACTCATACTAGACCAGATATCTCGTACACAGTTTAGGTTCTCAGTCAGTTTATGGGAGCAGCTCGTGAACCTCATCTCCAGGCACTGCAGATTTTGCAGGTTGCATGGGTACGAGAAAGTCTACTTTTGGTTAGTATGTACGGTTTGGCCCGTCCTTTATTTCTTGGAGGTAGGGGTGAACAATTGGGCCTGAAACCCGACCCACCCGATCACCCAACCCAACCGATTTAACAAACCTGACCTAACCTATATTACATGGGCGAATGAGGGTTATGAAATAATTAAATAAAGAATATATTGGGTATTGGGTTGGATGCGGGTTCGTATTTTAAAACCCGAGCAAACCCAAACCAACCCACTCAAACAACCACTAAAACGACAACACATATATATATACAAAAAAAATTCTATCTAGGATTCCATCTCTACCTTTCATTCGCCGCCCTCCCTCCCTCATCAATTATACCTTACATCTCCCCATTAAACACATGTATCTCTCTGCCTTTCATCTCACTCATCGATTATGAAGTTTGACCTCTAATTTCATAAATGGAAACCTTTCCATTCCATACCCAATCTTCCTTGCGTTCTCTCCTCTGCCATGACGGTGTCAAGAACCAGTTGCTCCCAATAACTCGAGTTGTTGGGAGAAGGTTTTGCTGGATCTTATACCACTCTCTAACACGCCCCCTCAAACGAAAGCCAACCCATGGGCTTGAAGTTTGCACAGGCCCACCATACCATGTGCTTGAAAGGCAACAGTTAATATTGGGGGTCGTGGAGATTTGAACACATGACCTTTCGGTTCTAGGCTCTGATACCATGTCAAGAACCAGTTGCTCCCAATAACTCGAGTTGTTGGGAGAAGGTTTTGCTGGATCTTATACCACTCTCTAACAGACGGCCTTTGATCTTCTGTGTCGTCTCCCTACCGTGAAAGCTAACGGAGCAACGACTTGAAGCAGGGCAACCGCAAACGCTTCCTCCGTCGCAACAACCCTTGATTCTTCTCTATAGTCGATTTATGTTTCATCTTCTGAGGCTGGATGCTTCCTCACAACCTCCCTATCATCAAAATTTTCTCTGAGTTTCTTCTCCATCCAAGTTCGATGTCGCCTCTAACTTCACATCTGATCAACCTCCAGCCACTAACTTGTCGCCTCTTTCCGATCAGCTATTGTGAGTCATATTTTTTTGGGTTGATGAACCATCCAAACTGACCCAATGTAAACTAAAACTAATAGGGTCTTAAATATTTCGAGTGGGTTTTGGTTGAGATTTCGGGTGGTCAAAATGGTCCAAATCCGACCCACCCGACCCATGTTTATCCCTAATTGGAGGTGTCGCAAACAAGATAAGTGTCAAAATCTTCAACAGAAGATGAGTATAGGTTCATGTCAGAAGTTGGATCGGAGCTTGTTTAGCTGCAGCGAGTATTTTCTAAATTGGGCATAGCATGTCAGGTTCATATGAGGTTGTATGGCGATAATACGAGTGCTATACAGATAGCCATTAATCATGTTTTGCATGAACGTACTAAGCATATTGAGGTACATGTGCACTATACGGCAGTTGGTGGCAGAAGGAGTGGTACAACTTAATTATTTGACGCCTGAAGACCAAACGACAAATTTGTTGACCAAAATTGTTTCGTCTAGTAGACATTGGCATCTGTTTTCCAAATTGATGTTGTGTACTAACATCAATTTAAAAGATTGTTAATTATATGAGATTTAATGTTGGTGGGTTGTACCGTTGTATAGCAAGGAATACGCTGGCCGTGTGTAGGGAGGATTAGTAGCTACTGTTGGTTATAAATATTGTACTAGTGTAGCATTGTAAAGTAAGAAAAACCTAATATTAAAATTTGAGAGGGAGATCTTCTTCGTACACTAATGTCATCCTGACGATACCACCTTAAAAAACTCTTCTCTCGTGTACGTTTCGTTGCTCGTTTTGACAGCCACCTCTAGTCACCACTATTTTGTGTAGTTATCTTGTGTTCTTTATTAGAAAGGAACATTTCATGTCAATGAAAGCATATTGCCTTACGACATTGCTAGACCCATGATTTGCTAGTTAAGAGACGACTAAAAGTTCTACATCAGCTACCATCCAAATATAGCATGGAGTTGATGCAAATTCCCAAGTGATGCAAATTTTAGAGAGAAAATCAACTGTAAAGCTTACTACTTTACGAACAACCGAATATTACTCAAACGTACATATAAAACAGAAAACAAAGAACTATGAACAGCCGAATGTGACTGCAGTTTGCCCACTGCCCACGAGCTTTCAATTCAAGCACACGGAACACAAAAGAAAAATATGTGCTCAGATAAAAATGAAGCAATCTAAGGAAATGAGAGGGTTATCAATGTCTTCCACTGCATCACTCTGGCCTTCATGCCGAGCCATCGCTTCCGCAACTGCCAACTCGTCGATCTTGGAGGTAATACGGTGAATACATGTCTCTTTGTTCCTCTTCAAACAACTACTCGCCGCCGGTTTCAAAACCTCGCCCCTCTCCACATATGGAGACATCAAGCTGGCCGCACTCGCCTGACGATTTCGCACAATCGGCTTCGAAAACATCTCCTCGCCCGTAATCGTCTGGATTCCCCTGTCCAAGTACTCTGCATTCCCGAACCTCCTGCTCGGAGATGGCGACCGCATCACCATTCTACTTCCGGCGTGTCCCTCCTCTATCCGGAAGGACTTCTGTCTGGTTAATGGAGGAGCCGGCGAGCTAGACCGGACCCTTTTTTGCGGCGTGGCGGTTGAGCATCCCCTTACACTCTGTTTTTTCCCCTGTTTCGGAACAGGGGACTCTGGCAGCTTATTGGCGCATTCCTTGATGGAATTCAAATAGATCACGTGGGGATTCTCCTTGAGGCAAGACCACAGAAACTCGTTGGAAAATGAGCGATCTTTCGATGTTAAGGCGGAGGAGCCAGAGCTACTGTTGCTGGTCGTGGTCGTGGTCGAGGTAGCGGAGTTGAGGCTTCCACGACGGAGGCTGCGGCTGAAGGAAGGAAGCGAATCGGAAGAAGAAGAAGCAGTGGGTGAAAGAGGGAAGATGGGGGAGATTCTGTTGGAGTGATGGTGGTGATAGTGGAAGATTGGTGGAGTTCTGGCGATGGGAGGTTGTTGGGAGACGACGAGCTTGTCCTGGACATAGCGGAATTCTTCTGCGGCGGCGGCGAAATTCGGCTTCCTGGGCTTGCACTTGCTGGCGCAGCAACCCATTGTTGGTTATGATGGTTGGGGGAAGTTTGAGAAACGGAGGGTGGGTATGGTGATATGCTTATATACTTTGATCATGTGGTGGGAGAGGGGAAAAAAGGGGGTTCCGAGGATTGAAGATGGATGCGTAAAGGGCAATGGGTATATAATTGATCACTGTACATTCTTTTTGATAATTTGAATGTTGGGGAGATTGTTGAAATTTTGGGTGTTCCGTTGTGCAACGGTTATGTATGCGGAAGAAATCATGAAAAGAGGGAGGAAGGAATAAAGATATGGTGGTGGGTTGGGTTTGGTTTGGTTAGTTTGCTTTAGCTTTAAGCATGTGTTACCGCGAAAAAGGTTAGCAGTAGTTCTTGGTTCGTTGGTGGAATTAGATAAGTCTTCTGCACTGCTTGCTCTATAAGACTAAGACTATAACAATAAAATGGGAGGCAAAATGATTTTTTTTTTCTTTTTTTGCTTTTTGTTATAGAAACCTGTTAGGCTATTACAAAGGTGTTACTAGAGGAGTGGAGGAGGGGAATTCCCTGGGATTTGAACCTTCAAGCTAAAAACAAGCGGTACGATCACTCATCCACGGTCTTATTTGTCTCAGCAAAATTGATGAAACTGCAATGGAAATGAATTTTGAAGTTTGGCGATTGATTTTGAACTTTAACTCCACATAAATTCAGGGACAGGTGTTAAACATTCCATAAACAATAAATGCTTGAAAGAAGTGAGAATGTGGTATTGAAGAAAATTATACATAAATAAGTGAGTGTTGAAAAAAAAGTAACATTCAATATTACTTGCAATCAGAATTAAGCATCGATAGATTTTTTATTCGCTTGAGAGGATGCTTAATAATAATAAAGATGTTGAAGAACAAAAAGAGTACTACTTAATTTCTAGGTTAACTTATTCTCATTTTTTGTGTAGTGTTCTTGTGAAGCAGGTTGCTGTTATATATAAACACCGAAAATATTTGAGTTATTCTAGGAGTAGTATAATTATAATATTGTTTTCTAATACTAGTTAGTACAAGAAAGAAATGGAAGGGCATTTGATGTCTTCACATTGGTACCAAACCTTTCAGGGTTGGATACTAGGTTGTTGATGGTTGATTTTGACTATGATGAAAACAAGTTTTCATGTCGCAAGTGGAAGTAGAGTGGTTTTCTGTGCAACCATCAATGCGGGGCATATGACTTGTTATGGTCTACAACATGAAATGTGAAGTTTGAGAACCTTCCTTCTACTTTAATCATGAAACTAGGTGGCGATGACGCGCCTTGTCGCGGACGGAGATGGCATATGGGCATGTATTATGCGGTCAGTTATGGTGTTTTGTTAGTATTATTAGTCTAAAATTAATGTTTTGTTAGCCTTTTTGTTAGTAATATTGATTTGACAATATGATATTGACTGAGAAGAGATATATGACGGTCAACATCCAATTTAATTTGTTTTGAAAAATTTGGCTAATAAATGATATTTACCTAAACCCAAGTAGGCCCATTGATTATAGGTATGGTATGAGGGACATATATATGAGTTGGTAAGTTTGTAGATGGATTTGGGTAGGGTATGAATATTTACTTTCATAATCTAAATTTGTATGAGTTGGGCATGGATATCCATTTATTCGAGGGTGCTTTAATTACACATACAAAAATTAGACTTATTTGTAGAACTTCAAAAATTTAGGTACCAACAAAATTTTAGGTACTAAAATGTAATGTTCCAACAATATTTTGAGGCTTATATATGTCAAAAAAATAAATTTAGGTTATAAATCTAAAGATTTATTAAATTTAGGTATTTAAGATGATAATTGTTTAATTTTTTATAGAAAAATAAAAACTATTTATGATATGTGTGAATACCTAGCCAAACATTCCATTTATAATTGTTGAAAATTCTACCCTTAGTGGAAAATGACGACTTTCTAATAAGTAATTAACCATATTTATTTATTTTTAATTGGACTCGACTTTGAGCTGAAAAAGTTAGTGGTTCATGGTTCAATCATTAATTCTCTAGACAGTTGGTGAGTAGTGTATGGACTCATTCATACTTTTTATTAGAATATATAAAAATAGTATACTAATTAGGGTTATGGAAGGTGAGTGAAAAGTGGAACGAAGAGGAAGTAGATGATGGAAATGATTGGTGGATTGGATTCATATATTCAAGTGAAATCTAAATATTGGACCAATATGTAAATTTAAAATTGTAGGTACGAAAATCTCATAAAATTTAGATATCAAAACATAATTGTTCAATAATTTTACATTAAAATTACATTTAGGCATCACAATGTAAAATGTATATTATAGTGACTAAGTTGTAATTTAAAAAAATTTAGGGTATCAAAATGTTATTGTTTATGCAACAGTAACCTTACTTAAGGTTTATATATATTAATGGTGGATGAGGGCATCAAAAACTGGTAGTAATTTTGGATTTGAAGTGGCATCTAGTGATAGTCTAATGAAGCATCAATCTCGTATTTTGCATCTTTCAGTTGTTTTGCATCACTGATCAGTGCGCCGTCACTACAAGAAAAACTAGTATTTCTTGCAGAGTGTATATGCCACTATAAGTCATTTATGTGCATTTATATCTTATTAGAGGCCCATAAAGATGTAACACCAATAATGCTATTGCTAATTCTCTTTAGAGGAAAAATAGTAGAGTTATAGCAGTAAATAAAATTTGCTGCTAATTGAGGAATTTGCAGCAAATATATTAGTTGCTAATTTCAGTTTGTAGGATTAAATTCGGTTTAATTTTCTCCTTCTAGAAGCATAATATGTGCTACTAATGGTACTACTAGTGACAAATATGTTGGATAGTAATAGTAGGTTTAAGTGATAAATAAATTTAATTTAAAGTAATTAATAATTTTTATTCATTTAATGATCTCATTTTGTTTCAATTAAATTATTTCCTTTTGTATAATTTATTAGAATATTCGTGGCAAAGTGTAGACCTGACTTGTAGCCCTTTGTTTTCTTCTACAATTAGAATACTATTGCAAGTATCTATTTTTCCAACTGCCCGGTGCGGTGGTGTCGTCGTCGGTCTCTATATCCACCGTCGAGAGGAAGATTCGACAAGTAGTAAAGCCAAAAGTTTGGGTAATTAGCATAAACGGTCACACAACTATTCACTTAGTACAAAACGGTCACTAATCTTCATTTTTGCACGTTTCGGTCACACACCTTTGGTCAAATACCAAAACGGCTATTCCGTCGAATTCCATCCAAAAAACCGTCAATTAAGTCCAGTCGGGTTGACACGTCATCCAAAAAAATACAAAAAATAGACCAATCAGACCCACTTAACCAGTACACCCGACCCAACCCGGCATCCAAACCACCCACCCCAAGTCTATACAATATAAATACAAATCCAACCCGAGAAGATAACTCAATCTCTCTTTCATTTCTTCTTTTCTCCTCTCTGAAAACCTAATCCCAGATTGCGAGGAAACACCAAATCCCAATCCAAAATCTTACTCACAAAGAAGGTCCTACTCCTCATGGGCTCCCTCCCAAATTGTAAGTGTCAAGAGAGAGTTGTCTTGCTAACATCGTGGACAGAAGATAATCCGCGTAGAAGGTTCCTCCGTTGTAAGAGAAAGTACTTGGTAAGGATGCTGGATTAGTTGGATTTCTGTGTTAATTATGGAAAGATTTGGTAATCATTATCCATTCTTTCATTTTAACTCTAGAAACTCCCTTACTATTGCGATTTCTTTGAGTGGATCGATCCTCGAGTTGAAGCTAAGACAAAAGTAGTCATCAATGGGCTTTTGAGGAAGATTAACAACCTGGAGAGAAAGTCGAGGGAAGAGATTCAGTGTGAGTGCAGCTCGCAGCCGAGTGCCACTGCTTCTTTTATTTCTACTGCACAAAATGATGGACAATGCAGAATAGGCAACCGAAGTGAAGATTTGTATGCACGACTGATAAATCTAATTTCTGTAGTGATTTGTGTGAATGTGGGAATTGTTGTTGGCAGATATGTTTAGGAAAAATTTGATTTTCGCTCTGTACATCCTTTGTTTGAATATGTAATCCTTAATTTTAAGGTTTGTGTTATGGTTCAGATATGTAACAGGATCGTAACAAATCTTTATAGTCGAGAACAAATTGGTGACATAACAATTCACTTAAAATTTTAACGATCACAATTCTTTTGACATTGTAACAAAATGGTCACACAACTATAGAACATGAAAATCGGCAGCCTGTTTAGTACGAACATTTTAGACCCGGAAATGAATATTAGCATTATATAAACCTGGGAATACAAGCATTAAACCATACTTAACATCTAGTTGTACGATTACAAATACCAAGCATTCCATTCTACTTAACATGGATTGGCTAATGACGAAAGTTCTCTATCAACCAATCAACATGCCCAAAAATCGAGTATGTCAAGCTCCGCAAAAACAAGTTCCACAACATACTTCCCAAACATCAAAGTCTATCCTACTGTTGTTGCTTTACTGGCTAGATCTGCCCCTACCCCTGCTAACTATGACCTTGGTTCTGAACCGGGTGATGGGTGGACAAGCAGGAGTAGGCATAAAGGCTATTATCTCGGCTCCTAGAGATGCTCCCCGCTGTTGAGGAGAGTGGGCTGCCTCCCTTGGTTCCTCGCTTCCTCTACCATTCTGAACAAAGGAAGGATAACAGTGCATGTCATTAAATATTTATTTATCAGTTAGGAAAATAGAATCATCGTTAGATTCAAACCTTTTTATGAAAGCGATTGTTGTGTCTTTTGACATTGCATACAGTCCATGTCATTTCAACTCCACTTTTTGACATTGCTTTGTATTGTTTTCCCTGCTTGTCATGCTTTGTTTTCTCCAACTCCCAAGCTTCCTTGCATCTCTTTTTTTGTCTAGGACCCCTCTTCTTCTCAACAAAAGTCGGCGATTCAAGTTCGATGCAATCATCGTGAAGCCATTGGGTTGAATCATTGAGAGGGTGGATAGG